GTCAAGTCCCCCCCGCCGCAGTAGGGACCCTCAACCCATGGAGGTTTGGCCAGCCGGAGTGAGGGGCTGATGGCTGTTTTCATGCTGGCCACACCCCTTTAGCGTGGGGGGTCCCCACTGGGGTGCCTGGCCAGTCTGGGTGAGGGGTTGAGGGCTGTTTTCAGGCTGCCGGGTGACTGAAGCTCCCAACCACTCCTTTTCTTCTTCTTCTTCTTTTTTTTATTCTGGGTGAGCTTTAGCTCTGAGGCTTGGCTACAGCTCTGAAATCCCAGCTGGCTGAAAGCAGGTTTCTGGGGTTTTGTTTAGCTTCTACATTTTTAACATAGTTGCTTAGAGTTGCAGCTCAGAGGCCTGCAGCGGCAGGTGGTGAACGTTGGAGTCCTCCGTCACTGAAGCAAGCAAGCCTCATGTTAGTTTCAAGCTGCCTGGCTGCTGGCCGCCATCTTGGCTGGCAGTTAATTTGCATATTGCCCTGATTAGCCAATGGGAAGGGTAGCGGTCGTATGCTAATTACCATGTTTCTCTTTTATTAGATAGGATAGGTAATTTTTGGTTAGAAAAAATTTCAATTTTTATTCCAGTTACTTAATTTTTAGATGTACTTAAATTTATATATTTTAGGTGGCCTGCCTGATTCGAGTTCCTTCTGAAGTAGTTAAGCAGAGGGCACAGGTTTCTGCTTCTTCAAGAACATTTCAGATTTTCTCTAACATCTTATATCAAGAGGTGAGATATGTCTTTAAGTTCTTTTTTTTCTTTATTGAGAGAGATTTTATAGCAGCTAGTATGAGCACTGTGAGTCTTGTATCAGGAGTCCTAGAAGAGACCTTACAGCTAAATTTAATGTTTAATTGCAGTAACTTTCTATGCTAAGATTATAGTTTTCTTTCCTGTATTTGTTTTTGAATTTTCTTTTTTAATTTCTAAACAAACACATATTGAGTGCCCCTACTGTATGAGTCCTACATTGAAATCATCCATAGTTCTTTTGGAATCAGACATGGAATAAATAGTAAATATGTAGACTAAATGGAGATATATGAAAACATCACTACAGAATAATTTGAGGGCTCATGGAAGAGAAGTGTAGTAATGGGCTGTCACCAACATCATAGTGTTTATATCAATTGTAATCCCCTTTTACTGGTTAGTGTTAAGCTGTGTGTCAGAAGTCACCCTGCTGGCCATGCGACTAGGAGCCATTGAGCTGCTTTCCTTCATAGTTCCTACAGAGGCCTTTAAAAATGTTAACTTAAAAAATATTTTTACCAAAGTCAATCACATGGAAATTTCAATGAGTCTAGGTTGTAGAAAAATTATTCTTAATGGTCCGTGTGTCTCCTTGAGGAGATGCAAGTGTTTAATTGTATGAGTGAGCTAGCCCAGTAGAGGGTTCCTGAAGAATCATGTGGACATGAAACAGATAAATGAAGGCTTGTCCAGAGTTACACCATTGAGAGGTTATTAATGAACTTCTGATGTCTTTTGATTGAATCCATGAAATACATTTTGTTTTCATATGAAAAGATAATCAACATTCTATGTGCATTTGCTTTTGGAAATCTATTCATTTAAAGCTCAAGTATTCTCAGGAGAAGAAATACTAAAAGCAACTAAAGCTAAATTAATATGTAGTCAGTTTTATTATTAGAGATATTTCCATTTTAAAGGAGTGGAGCAGTTAGAACCTTTAACTTCTTGCAGAATTGTGGTCATTGTGGACGTTTTAAAACTCAAACTTTAGGAAAGCTTACTGTGCTTTATTCAGAATGTCGTCCTAAAATTTCTGCCATCTCGTATTTCCTTTTGTTTGTTTCAGGGCATCCCAGGATTGTATCGAGGCTACAAAAGCACAGTTTTAAGAGAGGTAACTAACTTAATTTCCAGTACAGAAAAACAATATGCTTTGTTCTGTGGGTTTACTTGGAGAAACTGGTTTAAAAAGTTAAAAAGGGAAATTAAGATATCTTATTTTTTCTTTTTTATTTAAATATATATTTTTATTGATTTCAGAGAGAAAGGGAGAGGGAGTGAGAGATAGAAACATCAATGATGAGAGAGAATCATTGGTCGGCTGCTTTCCGCATGCCCCCTACTGGGGATCAAGCCTGCAACCCAGGCATGTGCCCTTGACTGGAATTGGACCCGGGACCCTTCAGTCCTCAGGCTGACACTCTATCCACTGAGCCAAACCAGCTAGGGCTAAGATCTCTTTTTAAAACACTCCTTTTTAAAACACACTTTAGTCTTGTCTTGGTTCTTACACGTAATAAATGGGTCAAATGAATTGGTTTGCTGAACAACCACCCTATAGCTTCATGGTAATTCTAGAGTGGTAAGTATTTGTTGTAGCTGAAATATTAGGAAATAACTACACAAGGTAAGTTATTAAGTTAATACACAGAATTTGTGAGAAATTGGTCAGGAAAGTTGCACCCTGAGAGATAAGTGTCTCAGAAGTCTGTATCATACAGTTAGTTCTTATTTTCCTGGTAATAATCTGATGAACTGGGAAGTGTACTCTGGCCTGGAGTCCTGGCCCACAAGCCATTTTATCCCCTGTGCCTTCTAACTCTGAAGTCCTATGATTCAATGTGATTGATTTCTTGTCTTCCCCCCGCCCCCCCGTTGTTTTTGTTTTGTTTTGAAAGCAGAGTGATTTCAGTATATTACTGCTGGAAGCATGTTTTAATTTTTGCCTCATATAAAAGGGCTGTTTGAAGTTTAAAAGTTGATTTACAGGTATGTGAGATAAAAATCTTTGGTTTGGGACATAATTTTATTTTCTTTTTAAGTGAGCTTAAATTCTATGGTTTCCCCTCAGTTTTATTGAGATAGAATTGACAAATAGAATTATAAGGCATTTAAAGTGTACAACATAATGATTTGATATTTGTATAACTATGAAAAGGATTGGGCCATAATTTCCATGAAGGAAAACACTGAAGACCATCTGCCTATATCTGCTCCATATTCTTGTTTTCTATTTGGTGTTCCTTAGATGCTAAAACACTTTCACCACTGAAATTGTTTTTAATTTAAGTAAATATTGTCATCATCAGCAGAACACTGAAATTCCTTCAAATCCCTAAGTTCATTCCCAGGTAGATTTTTTTTGTTTTTGTTTTTTGTTGTTTTTGATTCTTTTTTTTTTTAATACTAAAGGTAGCGATTTTCAACCTTTTTCATCTCATGGCACACATAAACTAATTACTAAAATTCTGCAGCACACCAAAAATATATTTTTTGCCAATCAGACAAAAAACAAAAGAAAACACACAGGTATAATTTTGATTCATTCACCAGACAGCTATTGTTGTATTGGCTGTTGTCATTTTTAAATTTGATAATCTAAAGGAAAAGAGGTCAGTGCCCCTGACTAAACAGTCAGGTACTGCATGTTTTAAAAATTCTCACGGCACACAGGTTAAAAAGCGCTGTTATAGATTAGTCTTCTTTATGAAACACCTGTACTGTTATTTAAAGCTTTGGTGTAGGTGATGTATATCTTTGAAAAACTTCTTTTGAAGGCAAACTGAATGTTTCAAAATTAGTCATTTGTGTGAAGGTGACTTCTTTCTGCCTTTCAAAAATATCCCCTGCACCATGTCTTCATTCTGTTCTTAGGCTCTGACTTAGTAAACATGAGCTAGTTACTCAGGTTTCGCCCGGGTGCAGGGGAAAGGCGGGGCAGGACTTTTTTATTTTTCTGAGAGGTGCTGAATATATAAATATATTTACATGCCAGAGAATACTGATTTCATATTCAAACGAATAGTTAGAACACATGGTTACAACTGCATTCTGTTCTTTTAAAAATTTGTTTTGACATATGCCACACTAGTAATTAATTTCTAAGCTGCAATTCTTGCAAATGTGACCTATTGAGATAACTCGGTTTACTCAAATGGCAGTGCTTTGTTGGAAATGTAATTGGGGTCTTTGCATTATGCGTATTCATGAAAGAGCCTTCAGAACTGATTTTAGGTGAAGCATCGCTTTAGAACAGATTCCCTGATAGAACTAGAGAAGAATTATTATTGAATGAAACGTAGCTTCTTTTCAAAATGAGAAAAATAAGTGACACCTGAATTAAGCAAAATTTATGCATTATAGATAATTTCAGTTCTTACCTTGTTCTGACATCCGTATCATATCTTTTTGCCAAGAATGTGGTTGATTGTTTCAGTAAGAAAATACATTGAAGCCTTACTGAGAATCACCAAGAAACTTACACATTTATTCTGTGTACAGTTTTCCTTTATTAGAAAGAGATTGAAGATGGAACCTATGCATTATAAAACAGATAGTGTGTTCTTTAGGTTTTGTGAATGCTGTCACCTGTTGTGTTTTTTTTTTGTTCCTCCATTTGATGTTTGTGGAGATTGCTGGCTTATCCTTTATGTTCTCCTGAATTATTTTCGTTACTGTGAATTTTAGACTGAGTCTGAGCAAGGTCAACAAATTATGCTACTTACCTCACCCTTTCAGTGTTTGTTTTCCTCATGATCTTGGCCAAATTAGCTGTGGCCAGGCATCGTGGTGCCTGGTGGCATGGCTGTAAGATGGACGTGGGAGCAAATCTCAGCTGCCTTCACAGCCAGGCCGAGGTCTCCACAGCCTGAGAGTGCTGTGGAGAGATGCCTCAGGGTCTCGCGTGTGGATTAGAAGGACGTGAAAGAGGAAGGAAGCAGAGAAATGCAAGTTGCTTCAAAATAAGTAGGAATAGCCCTAGCCAGTTTGGCTCAGTGGAGAGAGCGTCAGCCTGCAGACTGAAGGGTCCCGGGTTCGATTCCAGTTAAGGGCACATTACCTCAGTTGTAAGCTCCATCCCTGGCATTGGTCAGGGTGTGTGCGGGGGTAACCAATGAGTGTGTCTCTCACATTGATGTTTCTCTCTCCCCCTCCCCCTCCCTTTCACTCTCTAAAAATCAATGGAAAAATCCTCAGATGAGGGTTATAAAAAAAAAGAAAAGAAGTAGGAATAAATTAAACTCAGCAAATGTGTTTTATCCACTGTTCTATTTAACAGTCATTTAAAAAGTGTATTCTGTGTGTTGGGCACCACATAGAAGGATTCGTGTTCTAATGGGGAAATAATTAGGGCAGTGGACAGGGTACAGTGCAGTGTGGTAGTGCCGCAGTGGTGTGTATACAGCAGACACAGGACAGGGTCCGGTGCGGTGTGGTAGTGCTGTAGTGGTGTGTATACAGCAGACACAGGACAGGGTCCGGTGCAGTGTGGTAGTGCCGCAGTGGTGTGTATACAGCAGACACAGGACAGGGTCCGGTGCAGAGTGGTAGTGCCGCAGTGGTGTGTATACAGCAGACATAGGACAGGATCCGGTGCGGTGTGGTAGTGCTGTAGTGGTGTGTATACAGCAGACACAGGACAGGGTCTGGTGTGGTGTGGTAGTGCCGCAGTGGTGTGTATACACGTAATGGTGTGTATATACAATGTGTACCTGGGCTTCTAGAAGAAGTAGTGCTTGAGTGGCATCAATTCGTATTTGTTGTGTTAATAAAAAATAATTTTGACTTAATTCTTGAAGGAGTTGCAATTAGAAATAGGCAAGGAGACTGGCCAATGTAACAACATGAGCAGAGGCACAAGGCTGTGAGAAAACGCTCGTGCCTGCTTATCTGCGCAGAATTGGGGTTGTCACCTACAGAAAGGCAAGAGCCTTTGCCTCTACCTGCAGCCTCGTGAGGGCACTTCAGGAAGGCACAGAATCAAGTGGGTGCTGGCTGGGAGGAGAGGCTGACGTCTCCGCAGCTGGATGTTTGCCAGGGGACTGGAGTGGAGCCCTGGGGAGCCCCTGGAGGAGCCTGACACGTGTCCCCGGGAGCGTGGAGGGTAAATTACTGGGCTTTGACCCTGTTCTGCACTAATCTGACAGTGAGAGGCTGGTTGCAGCCGCCTCATGGCAGGAGATTGCTATTTTGGAATGAATAACTCCTGGCTTCTTGGTAGGTAAGAGTGGCTGCTGAAGGGATTTGAGGTAGATGAGGGCTGCCGCCCCCTCTCCCCAGATTTCTTGCCAGGCTTCAGTGAAAGTGAGTCTCCTCCAAGTTCTGTTACACATCTGATCCAACCGTCTCAAAGTCAGACCGTCTGGCAGGCCCTGTCTGCCACCTGTCGGTACGTTCATCAAGGCCTCCAGCCTGTCTCTTTCACCCATGAGGTATTTATTAAAATAACGCATTGAGAGAAAAAAATCAATGTATACATCCTTACTGAAAACTATACCATTATGCAAAAAAGCGTTTAATTTGGGTAAGCAATTCCTAATGTATGGCAAGTTTTACTTTCAGAAATGATACCACAAAACAACACAATCTGATTCAATCTTAGAATCAGCTGGCATGCTGTCGGGGAACATTCTTAATCTTTGTAGAAGCTTCTTTATACTGTCAGGTACCAGGGCTCTGTCTTCTGGTGTGAATTCAGCCACCACATCAACAGTAACGTGTCCTAGTCCTTTTTCTTAAATTCCCTCTTTATCGTGTGCCTTCTGTTGATCTTTTCAGCCACATTCAATTAACAGCTCTCAGCCACTCTTTGAGGCATGCTCTTTCTCCAGTTTCTATCAGCTTTGGTTAATGGCTGCTCTTCTGTGCCTCTTTGTTCATCTTGCTAACTAACCACCATCACTGTGGGCGAGGGCCGTCCCTTCCCAGCGATGAATGACCCTGTACTGACGACCGTTACCTACCGCTCTCTCTGTCTCTGCAGGTACGGAAATTAGCACTCTGATTGGAAAGTTCACTTGCAGGTAGACATGGAAGCTTTCCAAAGTTAGTTACGCTTACGCTCTACTTGAGGTAGTGACAGCGCCCGCTAATCTAGTGCCTGGGAACAGGAAC